TAAAAGTGTCGCTTACGCTAATTCGCCACTGTAGGTAATGAGACCTAGCGGTCTACAAACGATCGGAACCCAGCGCACAAAAGAATCTATTCCAATTGCCGGCCAGAACGTCAATCACTACAACAGCAATATCATCGGCATGGGAATATAAGAAAAAATCGGAGCTTTTATCGTCTGAAGAACAGTCAAAACAGTCGAGAGCGATCCTGGATGTATACTTTCGAAACGATCTTGACGAATACTAATTTCACCGGTTAGTAAAAACGGTTAATGACCAATATGAGTTCAACCTTCAGAAGCGGTGAGAAAAGCAAAGGCTAGCAACGGCCCCCAGGGGGGGGCGAAAACAGCAGTGATGAGGTTATTTTAAGGTTGTAGGCAAATACCTGGCAAAAGTTAAGCAATATTAGAAGCACATAACTGTCTCAACCCTTCAAACGGTTATTTCAAACGCAGCTACAACCTTTCAACATATGAACGAGAAGATCAGCGTTTCCTGTTTAAAATCAAGCGCCAGCAAACCCGAACAGCCCAAACTGTCAGATCAGAATCAATTCATGATGACGAATATAATGAATGACTCGACGCTTCGCATGGGTATATGTAACAGGCGTGCGGAGAAATCTATGAGATGCACCTTTGTAGAACCTTGAGGCGGAGTCACGAGGCGCTGTGCACCGGCTAAAAAGAATATGCGCGATGATAAAGGCGAAGAGACTGACCGCAACAACCCCGAGGCAGCCAATCTAGTAGGCTGGAAATTTTGATGTGTCTCGTATCAGGTTGTAAGGATAGCCACACAGTGGAGAAGTTCTGGTTTACTGAAGACATAAATTATGTCGAATCTCGTTTTCTTCAAGTCGCGGGAATCTTAGGGGGTTTTAACCCTGATGCATCTTTAGTATTTATCTTCATTCTGTCGGGATCCCACGAAAAATGTCCTGGTGATCTGCATATTCCAACAACAAGCCATTTCAGCTGTTTGTTTAAAATAGGCAGGTCAACCCTCGACTGACGACGAATAGCAGCCACCTCCTGATTTAAGGATGAAAATGAACTTACAGCCTCTAGTTCAATATGGATCCATCTGGTCTCTTCAGTTGCAAATATTATGGAGACAGCTGTAAACGGTGTATCCCAAAATTATTTACTTAACTCAGACGTAATCAGCTCTTACCACACGTTCATACATCACATCTCACGCAAGACCCACCTGCTGATAGCCCAAAGTGGTTGGACCCTCTCTGCTGAGGGGATAAGTCCACTGGTATTGAGCGTCCTGAACTTTCCGAGGTCTTTAGAGGAAGTAAACGTGACAGACTGTTTAAAATGTCTCGTCTAATGAGCATACATAGAGATGAAACTAGTAACTGGTTGCAATCAGGCAAAGTTTTCCCTTCCCCATCTGAATTTTTCTAAGTTCTCGGATGCCTTATAAGGTTTCCATTCTTGCTTAACTGTTGTTTGTTGCGGTTATGAATGGTTTCCCTGTCTTTCCATGTCTTTGTTCACCCTGTTACCTGGTGACCTGAAGACTTGAGGGGTAGTACATAAATTAACAGACATCACTGATTTCCAGGAGTACATGATAGAAGTGCTGAATAAGACGAGTGAGATGCTGCTCCTTCTCATCACGAAGAAGCCTAAGATAATGTTTGTAGATGAAGGCGGATCCAATCCTCGCATAAATGAAATATATTTCTTGAGTACCTCACTGGGCTTTCACAAATATAGTTCACTTATAATCTACTCGCCCAGTGCTAAACTCATTTAGATCCATCTCTCACTCTAAGACAGAAGATCTTCAAGCTACCACGACCTACACTTCGGTATTCTCCTCACTGTCATTTTGTGATTAAAAAGGCCAGTGGAGTCCTAAGGGTTCCTTCTGGGCCTGCTCACAACCGTGCGTAGAGCACCTTCCTGGCACCAAATTGCGGCTGGGGCTACAGTGAATGGATTAAACTAACTTAGCTAAATAAACCTCAAGCTCGCCTACAGATACTTCAGGCATTTAAAGTTTTGTTCCAGCCAGCGTGCATCCGAGCAGGCTTCGACTCCATTTTGCCCTCTCTTTGTGCCGGTTAACATGCACATACTCAGAGTCGCTAGTTTAGGCATACCAGCCAGACAAGTTAAATAAATTCTTCCCCTACTGATTACTATTACGTTTATTGTAATTAAATGTATTGCTTCTTCGAATATGTTCCTGAATGCCATTCCTTTAGACTCGTGTTTCGCTATCAGTACTTACACGTTAGGTAAGGTGCTGGTTAAGCAAGCACCACAGCACATCGGGTTAAGTAGGGTTGGTCGAACATTACGTAACAGTACAAGCCAGCAATCCTCGAAAATTGTATGAAAAATATGTCCGTCTGCACAGAGAAAAATTCACTTGTTATATCTGCTTGCTGGAAGTAAGTTACTTTCGTAGATCAGGCCAGCAGAAGAGTTGCAGAAAACTTATTCAGCCATAGTACAAACGTCATGCGGACCGCTTAACCACTTCCTATTTTCGACGGATTCAATGTAGATGGATCAGAGGAGAAACTTTCATCATAAATCCTATGGCCCATAATCCCGGGCACTCTAACGGACAAGTCATAAGCACTAATGAAAAATCCAAGCTTAGAAGTCACTCTTTTAGAGTAGAACATCAAGGGTAAAAACGAGGATACATGGTAGCTCGCCTGAGATTAGTGTGTAAACTATGGACTTCTTCACTCTGAAGTTGTTTTTGATGCTTCCAAAAGAGGGTTGGGTACCCACTTTAATACGAATGGATCACAGTCAAAAAGCGTCCGTTTTAGAAAAACTGAGTGGCAAAACTACTGTAAGAGAACCGACGAAGAATGAGTAATCGTCCCTGTTCCTTCCAGCATATGGGGACCGGGATCAGAACTGCTATCAGTTCTAACAGGAAACTTTTCAAAAACAGGCGTAGAATTCGGGGTACTGTTTTCACCATTTCTGAAACATGAGGTTCAAAGTTTCACCGTTGTAAAGACTTTATGAAAAGGAATGACAAAATACTTTCGAACCCATAACCTCAAACTAAGCTGTACCTGAGTAGTGCTTATAGCTTTATCTTGTTTGTAACTCAGCTATCCTTGGGGAACTAGTGACCTCAAGAATAAAACTCTTTTGCAACGATGGCAATGATTACGGGCGGTCTGCATCTCATCCGTTTGCGCAGCAGGAATTAATTAGTTTATGGGGCAATGCAAACATAGGAAGCCTACGAGTCTCCCATGAGAGAGTCACCAGGCTTGTGCCGATAGCCAGTAACCAGACAATATGGAGAGCCTCGAAAGACTGACAGAATAGATATTGTCTGCTACCTAGAGTTGGTACTCGCAAAACCAAGCTGCAAAGCGAGCGACCTTAGTAGAATTGCAGCAGCTGGGGCTAGTCGCTTTTCTGGTGGGTTTTCCCCCATACAGAACGTGAGTGGATTTGGAACCAATCAAATGGAGAGGCACCCAAACAACACTCTTGGGGACCTTAAAGGAGTAGCAGTTATTAGAGGGGCTGTCTTCTGTTTAGTGTAGAGAGACTGAAATGTATCCAAATGAGTGTCGCACGCCTTGTGCGCATTCTACTGATGTCGCGAACACAAGCTTTCTCCGAAATCTCAGGTTAGGAATTTTGTGCTAGAAATACTGGGCCACCTCAATGATGAGCGTGCCTGTATTAGTGGAAGATGACAATCTGTTTTCTGTGTTATTTCTGAAGTTGACGTTTAAGAACTTAACAACCTTTGGGGATATGCACGGCGTTGCATGTGGATAATTAGTACAGCATGAGTTGCGTTGGTGGCAGTAATGGGAAGTCACGCTCAGACAATCAATAAGATGACTAATATGAGTCTTACAGTGTTCCTTGTTTTGGCCGAGAGTGGCCGAATAGATTTCTTACCATACTATGGGAGCGAAACCTAACTGAGAAGAACCAGGAATTAGCGTATCTTTGGATTTTAGATTACCCAGTGTCGTTATTTTTCGACAGGTCCTGAACCAGAATGACTGAAACTAGCTGCCTTCCCTGGTTTATCAGCATCTTTTGGACATTTAAGCCCAGCAAAAGTATTAGTATCGTCACCATATCAGTTCTGCTTTCACTTTTGGTTTCAAAAATGAATAAAGGAAGTATATAGCAAAGCGTAACTGAGTACAATAGAAGCATGAACGACCTACTGAAGGGAGCTAATTAAATGGAAGCCTCATGTTCATAAGCCATCTGGTTCACCCATATCTGGAAGCAGACTTGTTTGTTACGCCTCGTTACTTGGAAGAGAGCACTGCTGTGCGGGAACAAGTGCAGAGGTGACCTACGTAGTACAGTGAATTAGTAAGCGCACAAACATTACTTTAAGCGGTTTACATCCCATGAGTGTTTTTTGTCAGTTAAAAGACAAGCCAGTAGGGCTGGCATCACAGTAACAGGTCGCCTATAACCCGCTATGTCCGGAAGACTGCTCTTAGGCCTTAATTTGAAACTCATATCAACAGGTTATGCCTCGGAGGTGAAACCTTAGATCACGAATGCAGAGCCTACCCAGCCCTTTCACACTGGGGATTTTTCAGACTGCAGCCTTCTTAAAGCGAGGATTTTCAGTGAATGCTGTCAATGCTCTCAAAAAGAGTCCGAATGCCGACTTAGGGTTGTTTGGTGCACAAAGCTTGTGTTATACAAGCACCACGAACTAGCGCAGGCCTTCGGTACCATCAGCATCTGAAACAAACGTATGGTGTACCTGTCCAGGTATTAGGGAAAAATAAAACAGCGATTCCGTCTACATACAATGAACGAATCCTAATAATATGGTGGTGGAGCCTAAAGAAATATCAGTTAGCTAATTCGGAAACACTAAGTTGAGAATTAGTATATTACAGAGATCTGAGAAAAAGTTTTATTCTTGTTGTTGGCCTGTTTTGTAGATCAGGCCAACAAAAATTTTGATACGATCAAAAGAGGGTTGTGTTTTTCATCTTCATGAATTCGACCTTGTGTGAATGATGTACAGAGGTCAGCCAACCCGGAAGTTTTGAAGACGGTGCAACAAATGGGGCGTGTTGGTGTTTCAGTACCGAAGGAACGGTTCCTAACATGCATTAGCTTCATCTACTTGTTCGCTTTCTCATCTCTGTATATTCAGCTACCTGGTAGGCGTATATTTGTAGTTCATCACGGTGTGTATAAGGATTATATAGCGGGAATGGTGTCACGCCCATTCAAACGTTATCTCTGACCGGTGAGACAATACTTTAATTTTTACTTAATACAGTTCCCCGTGACGCATCAGATGCTCTAAAGGACTTGAATATCCTACGGTTTGCCGAGTTCCTGCATCTTGATTCTTACCAATGTTTGGAACTGGTAACTGTCGTCGGTGCGGTGTTGGGGTTCTTTTCTAGTTTCTTCACCTCTTTTCGAACGGCTCCAACTTTCTTAGTGCTTTGGGTATTGTATCTCAGTGCCGTAAAGGTTAGAATGTATTCACACTTTTAACTGATATTAGGTTGGCCAAACATTCTTATGGTTTCAATGGTAAGAGACACAAGCTTCCCTGATATTCCTTTAGGGATATTTTGCTGTTGGAATCTGGATTCATTGCTATCTTACTATCTAGCTTTGGCTCACTTGTTTATCTTCCACGGTCAGTAGCTAGTGACAAGATAGGAATATGGTTACTGCGTTGGCTACTGTTCCGTCTAATGTTCGCATCTGGAGTGGTTAAGTTGACCAGTGATTGTCCTGCTTGGTGGGGCTTAAAAGCATTGCATTGGCATTACCAGTCTCAGGTATGTCCAAAAAGAATGTTTTCACTTTCGGCTGAAATAACACTTCATTTTAGTGCATCCCTACTCCATTGGCTTGGTATATGCACCACCTTCCTGAATGGTTTCATAGTCTGTGTGTTGCAGTCACATTCATAATTGAAATACCAATGGCATTGCTATTCTTCGTACCTTTTCGTCTTATTCGTCTTGTATCTTTTTATTCACAGGTAAGTCACATTAACGTAGCTGGTCCTTTAAGTACTCCTAGTAAAGATGAGTAATAATAATTTTATTTCAAACAATTTTGGTACTACTTGGCATTCTCTGCATGTGAATCAGCGACTTATCAAATGACCCTAAGAAACCAACCAGAGTGCCTGACTTGATACCCAGGGCGATATCAGTTATGAATGCTGTTTTTGATCTGTTATCCCCTAATTTCGACCTTGTAAATCCCTCAACTTTTACATAACCCTTATCTTAACCCTAGCTCCAATCAAGCTTTGAATAAAATATGAATCTTGACCTAAACAATGTAAAACATCTCCTACCTTTGTTATCTTTTTTCATTGCTTAGTAGCTCTGATGGGACATTCAAAGTCGTTGGCTTTGAGCCAACTCTTTATTTTCTCTCTTTAACATTGCAGATCGTGTTGATACCTTAATGTTATTTAGTTTAACTAACTTTTATTAAATTATCGTACTCGCAACTCACTGCGTAAGTGTATGGTGTCCCAGCCAACCAGCCATTACTCTAACTTGCGCTACAATTTATTAAATCAGTCATAAACAACATAAGACCAGGCATTTATGCGTAACGGACCAAGTTGCCACATCTCATATCAGCACATCAAGTAACAAGGCGATAAGATGGAAGATAAAGAAAAAGAAATCGGTCAAAAGAAGTAGAGAGTAGTAAAAGAGAGAAGGGAGGAATGGGAAGATGAGATTAAGTATAACAGTTACGATGAGGATATTGTGTGTGCATATCTGCACACCTGACATCGGCTCTGAGCCATATCATCTACAGTTTCCAATCACTGGTTTCTCTTGTCCCACGGACCCCAACCAGCTAGTCTACATCGTCCTACATGACTCAAACGACGAGTCAAGGACTTCATGCATTGATGCCATGTTTTGGTCTGGTCGCACTGAGCCTTTTTTCAGCCTGAACCTATTTTGACCAACATTGTGTGACGAGGCAGATGGTAGTTAGACATAAAGGTGTCCGACCGAGAAACACTTCGTGCCCTTCAAGTCAACGCTGCGCTTGCGCCAGCATGAGATTCAGCTGTTGGGTGTTCGGATACTCTTAAGGTGAATTTTGAGGATTCAGTACTATGGTTAGGTGAGATCAATTTAATAACCACACTGGGGTATATACGTTTCCCAGAGTCACAGCATACATCCAAGGCTAGAGATTTCTGAGTTTTGACGAGCGATACTTGCTGTCCGATTTGGCAAGGAGTTTGGACGTTCAAAGCTCCTACTTGAATTCGATGGAAGGGTCTTGAGACACTAGGAATGCGGTTTCGATGACTTTGGTCGTTGTCAATGGTTGCAGAGTGAGGTTGGGGAAGGTGTAAGGGGCTTAATATTAGTATCAGGATCTGAAGGCATAGGAGGAGATTGAGTTGAGGAAGATTGGTTTTGTTTGATTGGATTTTGTGTACTCCTGGGAGCTTGCTGGCGGTTGATACTTCCTGGCTGCACACACAGTGAAAGGCAATGAAAATGTAGAAAAAAACAACATGAATGAAAAATTCCTACTAGCATTATAAATACCGTAAGTTGGCAAGAGCCAAGCGGGCCTTTTGTATACGCGCGGAAATTTCATCGGTTACTGACTCACCAGAGCTGGTCTGACTTCCCTGGTCAATGCGCTCAACAATTTCACTCTCTACTGTTAGACAGGGCACCACTGAGGACCAGCTATGGAGCAACAATTTGAATTCGACTGGCAAGAAAGGCATCTCACTCTCAAATCGCCACTCAATGTGTCCAGAAGACTCTGCATCTTGTCAACATCACTTAATAGGACCATGTCATCTGCGTACTCTAGATCTCCCAAGATTCTCCTATGATGAGTGGATTCAGACTATCAAAGGACGACCTCCATAAGTACATCTGTGATAAAGTTGAATAAGAATGGAGAGAGTGGACGTCCTTGACGGATGCTAGAGGTTTCCAGCTGTTGGTTTCAATCGTCTCTTGATACTGTCGGATTAAAGCGTTGCTATGGGCCAGTTGCACTGCAATTCAGAGTATTCCGCCCCACTTTCTATCCTTATATTCTCTGAGGTTATCGGCCTCCTTTACCTGTGATGGTTTCACTAACCAACGTCTTCTTGTCAATATCCTTATTTAGCTTAAATAATTGAGGATTATTGCCTAATGCTGATGCCTACTGTATCTCTTTCGCTTTCTCCACCCACCGCTGCTGGTGATCATTGTGAAGACTGTTGGTCAGTTTACATTTGAACTAGTTTCGCTCTTCAGTGTGGTCAGAGTCTGGTGGAATGAGTCTTCTCGCATCAGTCAGTTCGGATGAGGTTGTGAAAATCTACTGAGTATTGCTGGCATTTGGATGTAGGTCAGCAATCATCGTTGTTTCTGCAGCAGGCTGAATATCAAGCCAGGCTTCATTAGGATTAGGATTACTGTCGTGTTCAGATAAGTGCTTATCTCTGCTATGAATACGCAGTTGATATTCTCATCTTCCAGTCAAGCATAAAGACAATTGCTGCTTATTTCCTGCAACTAGCAAGGTGTGAACGTACAAGTGATCGGAGTCGAAGCGGTAATCCGAAATGAGCAGCAATCCTCTAACGATGACGCATACCAATCTGATTTATCTGTGTCCATCATTGATTTAATGTCACCAGCATCCAAATGAAACAATGTCTGTCATTATACTTAAAGTTAATGATCGACGGAAAAAAATGTATGAGATCGTCACTGTTGTCCGTTTGTTGGTGTGGGATTCCGCATATACCACCTAGATGCGTTTCTGATTGTCTTAGCATACTCACTCGAGCTTCAAATTCTCCTGCTAGCAGAACTGTACCTAAACGTTTCGCTTTATTTAGTAAAGTTGACAGCTTTTGATATAATTCATCCTTTTGCACCACCCGAACTGCAGTCGGTGGGTGTGTAGGCGGAGATTAGGAATGTGCATAGGCTAGTCTCACGACCCTTCCTAGTCCTTACAGATTCATTTAGTCCTGCAGCCCATAGACAGCTGTTGACTGATATCCATTTGAGAAGTGTACTTTCTGCTATACCCAGAATGAATTTCTCAGACTCACTACATTAACCAGGTGAGGTCAAGCGAATAACCACACTTAGATCCTGTATTTATGTCTCAGAAACAGTCTAAACCCATTACTCTAAATTTCACAGTTTTAACAAAAGAAACCTGTTGTTCAACTTGCCATAAGGTTCAGACATTAAAAACCCCATTAATAAGTTGGTAGCGGGGATTTAGAAGACTAGGAAAGGGGTTTCTTCGGCTTGGATTGTTAGCAATGTATACGTAGTTAGATGTCGAAGGAGTTATACGGGCTTAGTATTGGTATCAAGAAGTGAAGGCAAGAGATGATACTGAGGTGAAAAGGCTGGTTTACGCTAAATTGGGTTTTGTATACTATTGTAGGCGTGCAAGTGGTCGGTACTTCTCAGTGCGCACATTGTGGAAGCTTTTTTTCTGTGGCGTACGTGGAAAAGAAAGAGGAATAGATTTGTGTGCTGGTACAAATCATATTTCTTACTTACAGTTATTAGTGAAATGGTAGTAGCTTTTATGTATTCACATAGTAAAACAATATCATTTGTATGTTTAGGGTCAAATTCCTTCTATTATTATCAGAACTACATTACAACCACGTACCTCTTTCAGAGCATGCCTTGAAAATTTAAAGGACGTCAGAGTTAAAGAGAAATATCGAAATGAAAAAACTTCACTGCTGTTTTTGAAGAACGTGCTGTAACTATCTGATACGTCTATACATAAGACTTTCATGATACTATTAACTTTTCAAGCACACTGCTAAACTATAGACAATTTCAGAGCATAGTTCTCCCCCAGCAAATTGTAGGTATTCCTAATATCAGTGAATGCAATTATTGTTGACCTGCAATATATGTGGTAGTATTTCAGTATCTAGTGGTGAACTACCTCAGTCAATGTATTCATGACCTTAACGAAGCCCTATTTGCTTCTCTATACATCTTGCCAACCCGTGAAAATAAGATAGCAGCTAACATTTTGGATGGAACTGGTAACTGGTTAAAACACTAATGCTTGTTACACATATTGTGTAGGTATTTTCACAAAGTTGATGCAGTAATAGCGTCATTCCAGAGTGATGCGACACTATGGTTATCAGAGAACAAAGATGTGAGGTTACAGGATTTTGATTGCATTTCCACAGCATTTGTAGCCTGCTTAGTGATCAGGGGTCAGGTTAGGCGTAGAGTACCAAACAAGAAAAACGAATTGATAGATAAGGTTGTGAAACGATACTAATTGATATGAATCAAACATGCGTTTTGTATGCTCATGAGAACTGCTACGAAGACACCTGTAATCAAAACCCTGTAATCTCGTCATATCTTCTACTTTAAAGGGGCATGTCTCGCAGCTGTGTCATAGGACAAAATGACTGAAGCGCAGTATACTCGTCTTTGGTAGATGGTCGGAAATCTCGCCAGCCGGCGTCAGAGATGACGCGAGGTTGCAAATGCCAAGCAGACCTTCTACATCCGAGGTTTTGGACATTTTACGCATACTGAACGATTGTCATCCTCACCACATTATTTTAACTGGGATAAGATTAATCTATAAACAAGTTAATAGTTGCCAAACTAAGACGTACTAGTTGATTAACTTTCTAGCTGCTGCTTACGTCAGTCGTGTTAAGAATCGCAAATGTCCTGTTCGGTTCTTTGTAACAATCAAAGTCAGGTACTGGAAATTTCAGGCATTATGACTCAGAACCCATTGCTTCAACCTCTTGTCTTTTTCTAAACAGTGAAATATTCACATTTCTTTCTGATTCCTCTCCACTTTTTTTGGCCCATAGTTCTTCAAAACTCAATATTTTGTGTATTCTGTTGGTATTTCTCTTGTTGACTTTCTCTTTGGTATCCTGATGTGGAACCGATACGCATTTATTTGTTGTTTATTTATGTTCAGTTAACCAGTTCAAAACTCGTCAACTATTTTCTTTCATTGATTATTATTACTATTATCATTATTATTGTTACTTTTCATTCAAGGTACTTCTTCAACTTATGATAATTTTAACGGGGAACTACAACTTCTTCAATCTTCTTACTATCGCACTGTGTTATTCCCTATTAAAGGATGATGATTTCAGTCACCGTAAGTTATTCATGTTAAAAGCAAGCATGTATATCCAACAATATCTTTTATTTGCAAATTACAAGCTGAATTAGTCTTTACAGAGCATTATTCTCGTGTGTGTGTGTGTATGTGTGTGTGTGTGTGTTTGTGTGTGTGTGTGTTATTACCAGTCCGTTGTTAGTGGTTTGGTTCCCTGTTATAATAAATCGAGTTTCCTGAGTGGTATCAATATCATTTGTTTGTATTGAAGGTTGCAGACCTTGGTCAACGACTTTTTCAATGATGTTCTCTTTGTCAGTTTATTTCTTAATATGTTTGAGCTTCGGTCAATTAAAATACGCTCTTTACTGTAAAAATAAGTGACAGCGAAAAATTGCTTCTTTCTTTTGTCGCTATAAAACAGTGGTAGTGAATGTACGTTTCTGTTGGTAAGTAAGACTTATAGGCTTCCGTCGACTCTTTTTATTCATGTCTTTTGTAAATAAGGGGTTAATGTGGAGGTGTTATACATTGATTTCCTCACATATCTTACGCCCATATTAAGGAGTCCAAAATCGGAATAGGGATATGAGCATCTGTGTTGTTTAAAACGGGTTTGGATCGCACCATTAAATATTTTAAAAAAGGATGTTTACTAACTTGGAAACTTTCTATGGCTTTTCCTTTTCATATGGTTCTAACTAAAAACTTGGAGAGTATGGTCACATCTTTAAAATATATTTCCATGTTCATTAAATACTCCTTATAGCAGGTAAATTCCAGTAACATGTGGAAACCTACATCTATTTGACCAAGTTAGAGGATAAACTGCATATTCCGATATTCTAAATTACCTACCTGTTGGTACAGTCATACGCAAGAAAGTCCTTAGAAGGTATTAAATAAATGAAGATTTATGAAACTGTTCGAGAATTGGAAAATAATTGAGGGTGAACATATAGTTGCCATTGTCGTCTGTTTGAACCATGTCACTGAGTCTCCAAGTACCCATTTGTAACATCTCAAGGAATTCATTCAAACAGTGTACATAGCTCGAACGCCCAGTCAAAGACAACATAGCAACATATGTGCTCTAACTGAAACAACTTCCCACATCAGTGAATTAGCCGATATATTCCATCATTTCACTCTCTATTCTCTTGAACTTAGGAGTTAATGCAAACTGGTTGTACAATGTCATAGCATGTCTCACTAGTATGAAACGCATGTTAAGCTTACTTAGGTGTTTAGATGCCACTGTATTTCGTTACGACTATATTATGTGGTATGTTTACCAGGTAGATAGGTTATGCTTACCTATTTTGAGGTTTCCTGGTCTGATAACCTATGGACGCTTATTCTGTATATGGGATCAACGAAATATGATACTGAACAACACGCCTAGCTAACCTGAAAAAAGCAAAATTGGGCTAAAAAACTAAACTTCAGTCGGAAAAGTATAAAAATTGGGGTACAGCTCATGAATTTATATACAGTATGAACGCTCTTGAAACGAATGAAAAAATTGTCATATTATAAAATGGAAGGACAAAGAGTGGGGAAATGACGTCACTAAAAGTGGCAAAAAGAAGCGATATACACGAAGAAAAAAAATATCTATAGGATAAATTTTTAGGAATTTTAGCATAAGACGTTTAGTTTTTAGGATATAACATCCCCAACATACCTCCTGGCAGATAGAATCGTTTTCTCATATTGCTTGCACCAAGTGCTCGATTCTGCCTGCCTGATGGTTGAATGTGTTACCTCTTTTCTCAAATTTACATTTTTTCCTCTATGCTTTATAGGATACAGACGAAAATGGACTGCCTCTGGAATATTGTGGACTGCAATTTCGTGGTTACTCCTTATTTTTCTGTTTGGTGTTTGCGCATATCTCTTCAACTTTTCTATTTCAAATAATTCAGTCAGTAGCTCTATAGGTAAGATGCTCTTCTTAATGATGATAAGGCATTAAGGTTTGTTCTTCTAACAACCTTTAATCACCAAATATAAACTTAGTTTCATTTATTTGATGTGTTAGATACACTGTTTATTTTCAAAAGTTTTTAGCAGAGAAATTCGAAATAAAGATCAATTTTAAAGATTTATTTTACTCACTTTAGTTTCATTATTTCGTATTTGGCTTCCCTACGAGCTAGAAAAACGAAACGTACTCAGCAACCTTATGCACATTTTTGCAGTAGGCAGTGAGCCACAACTATTGTGTGAGGGCTAGTAGTACTACCTGGCTATCCAAACCTATGTAGGTGGACCGGGATCGGAACCCATGACCCCCTTTTTTGATGGTCATCCCCCTAGACCGAGGAGCCTCAGCTCCACGAGTTACATAGGACCAAGTTAATCTTTATAAGGGGTGTAAGCAGTAGTTATTGTAGCAGTTTGTGCTCACGTGTTGTTTCCTTCCAGATGGTTGGAAGCAGTACTGCTGATTTCTTCAATCAAGAAGTAATTATTTCTTGTGACTACTTCTTTGTTCCTCGTCGTAAGCTAGACTTTCAGTGTACGGAGCAATGTCTTTATCGTATGAGTTTGTTACACAGTAACAGTTTCACTTTGGCTGTTGTTAAAGTCGCTCCAGGATCACTTTTAATCAATAAACTTGTTAAATTTTGATTCCTTCATTTCTTTTTGCTTGATTTATTTAACAAAGACGCATTCATTGTAGGCATGAAAGTGTTGTAAGAGTATTGTCAGAAAACGGGGGGTGAATAATTCATGCACCTCAAAAGTGTCGAAACTACTGAACAACTTGAGTGGTTAGAAACCACTGAGACATCTGTAGACTTACCAACGGGTTCATAGTGATAAAAACACTGGACGACCGTTTCGCTTGTTTGCGACAGAGCTCATCATTGGTGTACCTAGAAAAATTCAGCTCAGTGAGTTGAATTGTTCAGGTTACCTGTATCCGGATAGCTGGCTTGCATGGATCGGTATGCCTAAACTACTGAGCTGTGAAAAATGTCAAGGTGGCCCTTGCAGATTGTAAATCATTTGCGAATTGATCATCATAACCTCAGAAGTGTCCTAGAATTACATCCATAAATCCTATTTTGCGCTTGCTGATCTTCATTTATGGGTCATACTGACCCCCCCCCCCCTAAATCAACGGGTTCATCATAAGCAATAAATTGAAAGAGAATCATGCAAACTATGGATAAACATGTGATTTTAAAATGTCGGAACGCCTTCTGACTGCAGAAATGAATAAAAGCAATACTTCTAACTACTAAGCATTACGATATGTGTGCAACATATATTCTAATTTCAGATAGTATTTGTTCATGCTTTCTATATACAGTGGATTAGTCCGTAACGCTGTAATGGATTGCATAGAACTGTTTAAGAGACAGACAGAATCAACGTAGGATCTCGCACACCGATCCATTGCTTCAAGTTGCCACATTTCACAGTAGTAGTATACAAGGAAGATTTGTGGATCTTAGTTAAACCATAAGAACCTTGAGGATATGTAAGACGCAGTTAGATTTTAGTTCAAACGAAGTGGAGTTACCAGCATTACGCTTCAGTTCGCAAAGTAGTCTGTTTGCGTTGAGCTTCATTTTATTCAGTCCGACAGATCTTTTATTCTCATCAATTAAAGAGTATCGTCCTTTGGACTGGTGTTCATCTGCTTTTTTGCATAATCTGTTTTGTTCATAATTACTGTAATATTCCCTTTATCGCTTATGTTTTTACAATTATGTTTTTCAGATATTTTTAGGGCATGAGACTCTTGCTTACCGATATTGGGGCTGTTTCTTTGTATTACAAGAATATGCGTTATTTTCTGGCTCACAGTTTGTGCTTCGTCTTTAGGTTGCGATTCTCAAGCCAATTCGATAGTTGGTGCTGACTCGCAAATCACTGTTGCCTAACGGTCGATATTGAACTTGAGGCTTTTCGCAATAGTGAAATCTCATTCTTTTTATTTAGAATCTTTTCTGACATGTGTACCCGACGTCTAACTGGAGCTCGACAACACCAAACTCGTGAAAACCAGACGGCTTTCAGACCTGAATGAGGGTTCATGGATCGGATTTTTACCCTTTGACAGGTTCTGGAACACAAGGATACTTACTGTGACTAACACTTGCCACACTTGTTGACCTAAAGGCGACACTTGACTCTGTCGACCGTAAGCATTGTGACTGTCTGACTATGAAAGGAGTTCTGAGCAAGTATTTAATGCTTATCAAAGCTGTCGAACTCGTGCAGCCATGCAAAGGCTTATGGAGAGTTGTGACAATTAGTAGTGTCCGTCAGGGATGTCCACTGTCACCGTTCCTATTTAATTTCGTTACTAATGGAAATAGTTGTAGGTATGTCTGAGTTCACAGGGATTGACCTACTCCTTGGAGGTCATCTAGTTGGCTTGGTATGGTGGAATATGTCTACCACTTCACTTACCTAGGGAGTTGCATCAGCTTAAAAAGCTAGTTGCTGACGAAATCTCAGCTTAAATACAAAGACCCGTTTGGGACTTGTCAACTCGGGTCATTTCCGGCACCGACTGGCGAGATATCCGACTATCTATCAAAGGACAAGTATACTGAGCTGGAGTCTGTTCTGTTCTGTTGTATGACTGTGAAACATGGCCATTAAAAGTAGAAGACATGGAGCGTTTACAGGGTTCTGAGGACTGATATTTTCGTAGCTTTTCTCGTGTTTGGTAGAATCACCATGCGAACAATGTTGTGGTTAGGTGAAGGGTACTATGCATGATAGACTAGTCGACTGATAAGGTTGTGATAGCTTGAACATGTGTTGTGCATGCTGAATCACTACCTGCGTCTATGTATCATACCAGGGGAAGTTGGATTAGGTTGGGATAGGGCCCAGGGTGACCAGATCAAGATGTGGCACCAGTTGATAAAGTCTCTGACTGATGGTCTGTATAGTGTGAAGAGATGTAGACTACCTAGGTGGAGTCCCTGAGACAATAGGAATTAGTGTTTGAGGGCTGTTGGTGATGTGGCTGAAAATCGGTCACAATGGCCCAGATGTATTCAGATTGTTTGTTCTCCCACAGAAATTTATCTGTTTTGATATCAGTTTTTTTATATCCATTTGTTGTTTGTATACTACTGCCATGAAGTGTGGCAACTTGAGCTGACAAGCTTGTGTGCGAGGTAGTGTTGGTTTTGTTGGTCTTTGTCTGTATTGAATTAAGAGTCCTGGTATCATGTGTTGTGCATATTTTGGATGTTTTACTTCATTTATTTGAAAATACAATTACCAAAATAATGAGTACCGTTTACCGAATCCCCGGACTTTTTTCAAGCATCCAGTGGTTTCTGTAAACTGTAAATAACTCACTGAACAGCAGTTACATTCTGTTTTTCGGAACTATTTCAGGTGGTAATCAGGGATTTTGTACTATGTAAACATAAAACCTATGTCTAAACCTTCAAGTGTAGTACATTTTCACCATTCCTGTCTTCATTCAAATGAAAAAGTCCTAAGTAGTGATAATATGTCAAAATTATCAGTTTTGTTTAAACTCGACTGCTTCTAACGTTTTCATGTATGAGCCACAACTATATTATGATGGTTTATGAATACTCTCCTGTTGCCTAAGATGAAGTTTGTGAAGTGGGATATTAATCTGGGACGCATCGTCTAAACGTCAAGTGCCTAAGTGAATGAGCAGTATTTCTACACATTAGGTTATTTCTCACGCTTCGTATAAGCATTTATAATGTGTTACTCAAATATCCAGGATGAGGTAAGTGGAATGGAGCTGTAACCTTAAATTTCGAAATGCCTACTTCTATCTGCTTCATCTCACTGTGTTGTTTGTTTTTGCTCTCTTGCATGCTTACTATGTTTAGGTTTCACCAAGAAGGAGTTCGCTTGGTTTGTAAATGTATCTGTAAAATACAGTATTTATTTCGGTATCGCACTATTCTTTATGGAAGTTCTGCATAGCATAGTTGTGTAAGTGTTCGACTAATTTGTTTTCACTTTGGAAGCTGTTCGGTTTTGGCAGATTTTATTTTCTCTTAAACTTCATGTACTGCATACTTTTGAACGTTGCAAGTGAGAATTGTTTGAACCTTAAAAGTGTAAGTGAATTTATCTTATGTGTGATAAAGTTGTTGAATAGCATAGAGTTTTCAGTAGGAATTTTTCGGACCTAAGTTGGTTGGCGTTTGACGTCCAGTAGATTAACCTCGAGCACTGTTTCACCTACTATGGTTTGGAAGGCCAGGTAGTATCACTAGCCCTTATTCAATAGGTGTGGTTCATTGCTTACTGCAGGAATGTGCACAAGCTTGTTGTATGGATTCGATTTTCTAGTTCGGCTCAGAAGTCTATCAAAGTACCCAGTTAAATTACTGAGAGTAATTTATTACATGACCTAATTTTAGCTAAATATTGCTATAAGACTTAGATGGACATCTGTTGATTAAATGTCTATCAAAAATGGAGTGAAATAGCGGATGCAACACTGCCTCCTACACATTCCTCAGTAGTCTTATTATCGAACTGGTAACACTCAAAGCGAGGTTGGTGATTTAGTTAGCATTGGGCTTTAGTTTTTATTGTATGGTAGAAAATTGAATTTTTTGTGTGCAGAAGTATATATTGTTCTAAGATTCCATCTGCATGTAGTAAGGCCCAGCAAGTATGCGGCCGAATGGTACTGCTTCCATTCTATCACAGTATAACAAATCAGCAAGGTGGAACACTACAATACCAAGACGCTTCAGAAGCGGATCTAACTGGTGGTTAAAGGTGTTTCATACAAAACAAATTTTCTAAGAATGAGCTTCCTCACTGTATCATATAATTTCTGTCAAAGGAGTCCTATCGACTACCCTTCTAATTATAGATAATGCTATGGACTCAAATTGCTATCCGTAACGTCGATATAAAGAAATTTACTATAAACAGTACCCATGAATACTGTTTAACCATTCTTAGTGTTATAATTCACTGATAAATTGTTAGAGGATCAACGTCCACTATATTGGTTAAGCACGGTTTGTATAATATTGTCTCAGTGTATCTTTTCTTTTAAAGGAACTCCCTAAGTCTACTAGACATATAGACACGTAAAAAAATACTACAAATTCATTTAAGGTAATTTTCTTGTAATGTTTGCTAATTGTCAATTGATTTGATAGAACAACTTTCATTGGTTTACTGTTTTAAAATAAGGTGCAACCTTCCAGGTCAAGGTTTTCTGGATAACCGAAACCGACTGCTTAACGGCTCTAGATGATACTGCTTAGAATACATTGGAGTAGCGCTAACACATTCATACTTTACCTTCATTTAAATTGTATTGTTACATTTCTCTACTCTTTTTGTCTTCTTTTTTATTTCTATCCTGAGGCTTTCTCACTACTTGTGATTGATATAATATTAATTTCTATGCTTTTCATGTTTTCTGACCACTATTTCCATATGCTGATATGAAGTGTGGAAACTTGGACCGTCACACAATACTAGCTGGTTTTGTGTTGCTGATATCTGTCCCTGTCTGTCATGTAGTATAGAGCGTCAATTCATGAGATACTAAGGTTCTGACATATACTCTTCATAAAAATATAACTATTGGTTTCTATTATTATTTATTGATATTTGTAATCCTCCGTTGTTATACTGTGTGGAATTGATCGCCCTCTGTTTAACATATGAGCTCCTATGCGAATGCCTCACTATTCTCTGAGTATTTATTGTTATAATTGACTTGGTTGTAGCGCGCGTCTAGTCCTATTTGGGACTTGTCAGCTGGATGTGCCTGCACTCCAGTGAGTGACAGTGCCCTCACTGAGTCTCAAGCTCCACACCTATCCCATCACATGTCAGGACGTTATTCACTAGGCCACTTAAGCATGATTACTACATTTTGTGGAACAGGTATTAGTTATTATTATTTATTGATACTTGGAGTTTGGGTGGGAACACCATCACTTACTGGGATGCTGGTACATCCAGCTGACGAATCCCAAATAAAACGAAACGCGTGTCCTGGGTTCCACTACTAGTCACAACCAAGTCAGTTATTGGTTTCTATTGTTAAAATAAGCTGAGATTAACTAGTCAATTTAGGTATTTATTCCTTATGTTGATTTTTATTTGCATCCCAATACTTTGTTTATTTTTCTCTGTTACTTCTCATAGAGCATTAAACGCACGTCCATTCTGGCGTAAACTATACGAACTGATTGGTGTTATTTTCGTTAGTTTTATCGGTGTGTCCGTACTGATGGGTAGTTTGGTAAGTTTTTTTTTCTTGTATGCGTGTTTCTCACTTGTTAAAGTAAAAGGTTTACAATAGTAATTATCCTTTTACATAAAACCAACAAAAACTTAATAAACACGTAAAGTTATTGACATTTTGCCATGTTTTTGTTAACACCACAAACTACCTATAGAATCTTTAAGCTCAAAACACCTACTCTGACGATGAAAAACCTGTAAATTTCAACATCGAACCTAATAAAACGGCTCATCACCTTATCCCACAACTATTCGAAGCATTATAGCTAGATAAGATCAACCAAGGAAAGAGACTATTGAAGGACTACCGATATCATCAGTTCAATGGTTTGGTTTTTGTGAGTTCGATTGAATTGCGTTTGAAAATGAAACCTGTCAGCGTTGCGTTCGGTCTCGGCGAAGTAGGGGATTTTACACTTGAATGAAATAATAGCTGTCCATTCCTCTCGGTATTCTCCAGTGCTTATGAAAAGCTTCTGAGCAGTTCTTTGAACCCCCATGTAGGTACCAACTTTTTTATTGTGTTATTACACAATTCAGTTTTCAGCCAGTATATCCCAGTCATATTATTTCATCCAGAGAACTTTTTTCAGCTGAGTGATGCCACCATACCTATATAGTACTGCCTTGTACATGAACTTGTACATTGTTTGTGCTGCATAATTCTGTTGAGGAATGTTATTGTTCCCCCCAGAAATGCACTTAAAGGTGCTGAAAAAGCAATTATTCTCAGTCATGTCACTAAAACGTTTCACAGGTGAAAATCTAAATTCCACTTCATGAATTCTCACACTGACTGGTTTATTTTCATGGTCATCCTCAGTTTCGCTTCCACTTTTTTTTCGTTTTGATCTGTTAATAACTTTATCTGTGAATAGAAACGAAGTTGAATAAATTTATCGAGTCACCTTCTAGTTTTTCAATCCCGAATTGTATCACATTGGTTTGATGTAGTTCGGATTTTTTAAGCAATTTACATCTTTGTAAATTGGATTATTGTTTCATAGTTTTTGTTTCAGAATGTTTTCTGTCCATGTAATAAATGATCCTAGTGTTTGTGATGAAATTTAAGGAGAAAGTTTTCACTTTATCCAAAAGTTGGAGTGTCTGCTTGTTCTGCTGTTCTGTTAGTATGGTTGATCGATCACTTGTTTACTTGATTTACGATATTCTCGTCATCTGATATCTACCGGCGTCGGTTTTTATTTGACCTGAGTTGGTCAGCCGCTTAAATCAGTTCTCAACTTGAATATGTTGTGGCTAATGGAGAACTGCTACCACTGAACAACTACGTGTGCCGCCATCCACTAGTTTCCTATGCTTATTGGACAGCACTGTTTTGTTTGTTTTTGTTATTGTTTACGTAACTGGTGATAAGACTCATCCAACTATTACTGTTTACTTTGTACAGGTCCCGTTCGCATCGTTGGATCCAACTATTCCATTGCCGCCCCATAATCGTCAGGTTTATAGACACTTACAACCATATTATATCACAAATAGTTATGGTCTATTTCGTCGGTTAGTTTTCGTTACTTTGTTGATATTTCATTTTGAAGCATGATTGAGTATAATGAAATTCAGTTTCAAGATATGTATGATAACATTCTAATTCATTTGTCGTTGCTTTTTATCTGTGTTTTTGATACCTTAGCATGACTGGAGTCGGTGGTCGTCCTGAACTTATTCTTGAGGCAGCGTCGAATCCAGACGGTCCATGGTCCGAGTATGAATTTCATTTCAAACCGGGTCGTGTAGATAGGATTCCTCCGGTTGTTAGTAAGTGTTGTCTGACATCAAAAAGTTAATTTATTGCTGAACAGCTTTTTTTTCGATTGTGGAACATTCAAGCAAGTGGGTCCTGAGTTCAGAGCACGCATCATCCACTGTGGCGTGCACAATCGGGTAGTTTATCGAAAACCCTCATACAATAAGTTTGATTCACAACCTAGTACATAAACATGTGTACAGGGTTGAGTTGCATTATTTTTATTCATACATTTAAAACCACCTGCATTGCTTTTCATAAAGTCTACGATTATTTGCGCAGTGGCAAGAAAGTTCTTTGTTGGATTTGAACTATCGGTAAGGATTAATTTCAAAGTAGTTTTCATAACAAATTAATTCCCTTCGGGGAATCATCGAAACTTCATTGAGATCAACCCATCTTCACCAAACACCAATTTATTCACTGCTCAGTGCTCATGAGTGATTTTCTTCGATATGGATTTCTCAAAATTCTTATAAGAAACCGTTACTTACCACGACAACTGGGTTTGGCGTGGGGAAAAATGCTTGCCGATGGCATTGGATGGTGGTCATGCTATACCTGCAGGTGGCACAGATGAGGATGTCAAAGCTAGGATCGGACAAGCAAGACAGCCCTTCATTAAACTGAAATCAGTGTGGAGATCTCCACTGCGCTCAGCATAAAGCATGAACAAGATCCGGATTTTCAGCACTAATGTCACGTCGGTGCTTCTATATGGTTCAGAAACTTGACGAGTCACGAAAAGCATCTCCAACAAACTGCAGACATGCCTCATCAACAGCTGCCGCCTACGCCCACTCGATACTGAAGATCAAATGGCCAGAAAAAATAAACAACAAGAAACTCTGGCTGGCTCGCAACGAACGAACCAAGAAGCTATCACCCAACAAATATGCAGTGGAAGAAAGTGGAGATAGATTGGGTATACACTGAAAACACCATTTGGGGATATCACACACCAGGCCAGGCTGTCGAGTGGAACCCAAATAGTAAACGACGAGTTAGGCATCCGAGGATGATATGGAGGAGATCGTGTGAGAAAGAAATGAAAGCTTGGAGGCAGTCTTGGAGCCGGGTTCAGAAAACTGCAAAGAAGAGAGTGAAATGGCGACGTGCTACTGAAGCCCTAGGTTCCACTAGGAACGCAAGGGATAAATAGCAATAATAATACGCTATATCTGAAACTGAAAAATGTGAGAAAATGCGGACCATTGGATTCCAACTCAGTGATTGAAAGGTACCTTTCTCACGGCGAGACCTGATGGTTCTGAGCCCGATCTCTGATGGGGTCGTGGGTGCGTACTACTGAGGAGTTTCATGGTAGGACGATGAAGCTGTCCACTTCTTTCAGATTTTGAAGGGTTTTCCAACTGAAATCAGTCCATGATAAATACTGCCTTGAAATCAACCAATCCCCATAAACTATCAATTGAATTGATCTGTGTGTCACTGTCAACTGCATTAGGATAACTGTTTACTAATTTCTTGGGCAGAAGTTTTTGGTGTAAAAAGAACAACGTAGATTATAACACATAAGAACAGTGATGTAAAGCAAAGTAAGTACTAATAAAACACTGACTTTTTAAAGGTAGTGCGATTACATAGTTGAAACTAGTATGTTCAATTAACGCACCGTGGTTATTTCTGCGATCAAAGTTTTTACAACTTTAATGCGGTGTAATTCACTAGTTAGCGGCTTCGGAGATTTATTTCTATGTTCTAGTCTACTGTGATTAAATCATTTTATCCCTGAATAATCACGTTTTTAGTTGGCAGATTCGTCATTTATGAGCAAAATTGTAAACGCTAAGACATCTGAACTTTATTTTCATACTTCGCTGTTGCGTTCGTGGTTATCTGTCATTGGCACTTGTACAGTTGTTATTTTCTTTGTTTTCTTCATTCGAAAACCTAGTTCCTCACCAGCCTCGTTTGGATTGGCAAATGTGGTTTGCTGCCCTCACCAGCTATCGTAATCATCCATGGTTGATGAATTTGATATATCGATTACTCAGCCAACAACCTGAAGGTGAGTCTTATTGGGAATAAAGTGATATTTTTATGGCCTCACGTGAATGGAATAACTTTTCTTTAATTTGTTTGTGTTACGACACACGTTTGCTACGATAAAATCATGTTTTTCGTATTTTTTTCGTTCACAGTTTAAGTGTAGGTGTTTCTCATAGAAGTAATGTCATTTCTTGCTTTATAATCATCAGTTGTGCCGACGAGACATCCGACTATTTCCCCATAAACGAGTACACTGCGCTGCACTCTGTTCTGTTTTGCGGATGTGAGACATGGCCCTTAAAGGTGGAAAATATGATGCGGTCACACGTTTTCAATCCAATTTGTCTTCGTAGCATTCCTCGCATTCGATGAAATCACTGTTTGAGCAGTGTTAAGGTCAGGCGAAGGGTACTATGCAAGATAGACAGTTTGGTTGATGAAGTTGTAAACCTTCATTGACAGAGGTAGCTTGAAGATGCGTTGCCGATCTGCCGCCTACTTTGACGTACCATGATAGGAAAAGTTGCATTAGGTTGGGAGAGGATTCAGGGTGACCAAATCAAGACATGGCACCAGTCGATGAAGTCTCTGACTGCTGGTCTTTGTCGTGTAGGGGAGATGCAGACTACCTGGTTGGGGTTCGCAAGACAATAGGAATCAGTGGTTGAGAACTGTCTCTTGGTAACGTGGCTGAAAATAGGTCACAGTGATACAGAGTATTCACTCTTTGACGTCGTGTAAAGTTTAAATACTTACATTAATCTTTATCTTCTAATTTCTTATTCTATCACACAACTTAGTTTATGTTGATATTTTTATATATTCGGAGAGGATATAAAACGCGCGCTTGGTTGACAGCTAACTTCGCACGCAAGATCCACCGGCTACAACCCCCAACGAAATAGAGAAGAAGACTGAACGGGATGGGAAAGTTTATTCTTCCGAGAAGAAAAGCTAGTTAATGAATCAGCCTGACTCGGCGCTCAACTTCTTTCAGGACATTCGTAAAAACTATGGCCTGGATGTTTACAATAGCTAGTTAATCCAAAATACCTATGTATATATGCATGACATATGACCGTGTCCAGAAATTGAAACATTAACATAGCAAAAGTAGTCGTGAACCAATCAGCTAATTACCGTGAAACTTAGCGGGGGGGGGAGGACGAACTACTGACCACGCCGTAAAAAGTGGTGCAAAAGCGACAATTTAAAAATGTTTAGATTAACAATCAATGGTTTATGCAAACCTGGGGGCCTTCCAACACGTTCCCTTTTTGAAAAGGAAACAATAATACCTTCCCTTTTTGGGTTCATTTGGAAACTTACTGTTTTTAAACGCTTCCGATTCGCCCATCTTCTGATTTGAAGCCCCTTGTTGATATCGGTCTTCGTTTCTTTTGGCGACATCAAGTAAGATGTCGAGTAGTTTGGTCGAATCCTCTGACTCAGTTGATTCTTGTGTCTCGTCCGTTTCCCCTGATCCACCTCTATGTCATGCATCACAGTCTCGCATCTTCCAATAACAACACCTTCCGTTTATATACTACGTCCTGGCCTAATCTCATACATAGACGTGATCTCCCTTTTTAAAGTGTGATCTAACTCTGTGTTACTTGTGCACGATGGTAACATTGCATGGAGCGGCGTACGTAGCTTTCTGCTCATTAAAACTGCCGGAGATTTGCTATCTGGTAGGTTATCATTTAATGTTAAACAATAGATAAATAAGAATTGTTGTATGACGTCCGTATCCCTTCACATTTTTTCCACCTTGAGCGGGGCACCCTTAAAGGTATCTACAAATCTTTCTCCGTGGTCATTGCATTGCGGATGGTACGGCGGTAAACGTATATGGTGGGTTGCATTCACATGGCTAAACTCGGCAAACTCGCGCGAGAGGAATTGCGACCCATTATGTGAAACAATGATCTTGGGCAACTTATGGCAGGTGGAAATATTTGTAAGAGCAGCAGTTGTTTGGCGTGATTATACGAGCGATACTGTGACGATCTCTGGCCACTCGGAATAAGCGTCAACAAAAATCAGATAAAAGGTTCCTTGTAATGGGTCTGCGAGATCGATATAGATTCTAGCCCAAGGTCGGTCTGACAATAGCTATCTCTTTGGTGGAAGATGTGGAAGATTCTTTGCTACCTTCTGATATAATGCGCAGCAACCTACGAATTCAAGTATATCAGAATCCTTATTGGGCCAATAAACATAGCTTCTGGCAATGGCTTTCATACGTTCTATTCCTGCATGAACAGTGTGAGACTGCTTTAGGATGTTTCTACAAATAGACTGGGGGACTACTACACGTCCTCCAAACATGAGGCCCCTGTTGACGGCACAAAAGGTTCTCTTCTGTAGAACAGTTGTTTCAGGTCACTGGTAAACGATTTCTGTGGCCATTTTGTCTGAACATAATGCATGACTTCCTGTATGATATGACCTTTGTGGTATTCGTTTTTGATTTGAGCCGACGTGACAGGTAGCGTGCGGACTGCAAAATCCAGTAGGCGAACTGCATAATCGTTTGTGGATACTAATGCTATCACTGTATCGTCGTTGAGTATAGGATACTCACTTATAAGCCTTGAAACTGCGTCTGCATGTCCAAAGTCTTCTGTTCAGCTATATTTAATACCGAAATCATAACCCAATGATGTTACCGCCTACCGCCGTAGTCTACCGGCGGGATGATCTGGAACACCCCATTTTGACCCAAAGATTGTAAGGAGAGGCTTGTTACCGGTGAACAGGGTGAATTTCTGTCCATACAACATCTTGTGAAAGCGTCTGACCGTGAAAACTAAGGCAAGTCCTTCCTTCTCTATCTGTGAGTAGCGTTTCTCCGCTAGCGTGAGAGATCCAGATGCATGCATTACAGCTTTTTGTGAACCATCCGAATATTCGTGTAGTGGGACGGCACCAACACCAACGGTGGAAGCATCTACAGCAACGAAAATTGGCAGATATGGGTCGTAATGTGTTAGGAGGTCAAACCTGATGGTCGACTTGAGTGGTTCTATGTCAGTGTCAGATTCTCTCGACGAGGACCATGTAACGTCCTTGCGTAGGAGACAATCCGACGGTTCCCGTCGGCAACTATGCCGAAGAGTAACTGATGAGACCATGAAATGATCGGAGCGTCCCGACATCTATCGGAGTTGGCATCCACTGTATGGCGCGAATGTTTTCAGAGTCAAGGCGTCAACCAGATGAAGGAAAGATGAACCCTAAATATTTCTCCGCTCTGAGTCAAAGGATGTTATCTAGGATTCGCCGCAGGACAAACCGTATTCGATTCGTTAATCCCGTTTGACAAGTGGCAACTATATTGACGTCATCGAAGTATGCGGCAACACCTGGAGTACCTACTAGTGTATTATCTATGATCTGTTGAAAAATAGTGGGGACAGTTTTAATGCCGAATTGCAGACGATTGTAATGAAAAAGACCTCGATGGGTTTTGATGGTTAGGAGTTCACGACATCCTAAAGAGACTTTGACTTGTAAGTAGGCATCCGCCATATCGAATTTTGTAAAACAGTTTCCTTCATTTGGTGTCGCAAATAAGTCATCTGGAACAGAAAGGGGGTAATGATGTTGCTCTAAAGCAGCACTTAAACCTGTCGGTAAGTCAGCACATAGTTGAACGGAGCCAGTAGCTTTCTTTATAACAACAATTGAGGCAGCCCAAGAAAGATGGGGTAGTGGAATAATGATACTCTGTTCCTGAAGTCGTTTCGCTTTTGCCTCGACGCAAGGTATCGATGCATATGGGACGGGCCTTCTAGGACGAAAAACAGATGGTGCATTTAGTTTCAGACGTGGGATCGCTTTGATTATGGTTCAGTGACCGAAGCTAGTTTGGAAAACATTTTGATATTGAGTAATGATGTCGTTAGTGAGTTCACCGGGACGTCTGACGGTGCTTCCACTTTGTTACCACATTCAATGGAAGGTCAGGGAGTTTCAAACTTTCGAACCAATCGAGACCCAGTGGGCTGAAATTACCTTCAATAATGTAACAAGCTCCATCGCAAGTATTGTTTCTAAGTGAAGTACGGCAGCGTAATTGGCCTATCGGTTGAAGCTTACTGCTACAGGCGCTGATAGCTGCTTGTGTCGTTCTTGACATTTTTGGCTGACCGAAGCTGCACCATAATTCCCTGTAAATCACTGTGATATCCGACTCTGTATCCATTTGGAGGCACGCAGGTTAACCATTCATGTTAGGCGTCATATACTTCCTCTGTTCTGGGCTACTGATATAAAAATTAGCCATGATCGTGAGAGGTCTTGTTGTAGGTTGAAGTCGAGATGAGCTTCTTTTTCTGTTAGCTGAACTTGGTTGGAGGTAAAACTCGTCCTTATGCCCCACTATATGATAATAGCAACGCTTATATTATTTAAAGGGGAACGATTTCACATAACGCCAAGCTCTACAATGCCAACATGCAGATGGTGGTTTTTTGCTGAGTTTTATTTGTAGGGTGGTGTGCTGCATTACCTGATGTAGAACTGGCTGTGGGTGCTGCGTGTCTGTTAGCATGTACTTTTGTCACGTTCTGGCCGACGGTGTGTATTAGGGCGGTATCTTGACGTATATTAATTAATCGCTGATATTTCTCACCAATATCCCTCAATGTCAGCTTTGGGTCTTGTTCCAGGCGATTCAGCAGGCGAGTGCACTTACCCGCGAATTTCTGAGACTGAAGTGCACAAATGAATATGAATACTTTGAAGTGGTCGTTTGTTAGCGACTTGAATTTGAATCGTTCACATGCTCTACTCACAATCCCAAGCTGGGTGTGCATGTCATCCTCATTTAGTACCCGCTTCATGCAGTGTTGGGAGACAAAAGAGTGAGCAATGTTTTACAAACTACTGATGTAATGTTTCTATAGTTTCGTCAAATGTTCTGTCGTGTTGGTTTTGTGAAGGTTAGGATTACAATATTTATCCCATTCTTCTGGATTAAGCTTTGGAGTAGAAGTCTAACTTTCTATGCGTCGTCATCTTGATTTTAAAAATCAACTCCAAAAAGGCCTTCATATCGTCGGAACCATGTATCAGGATGATATACAAACTCCGAAATACCTGGGACTAATTATATCAGCAAAAAGTTGCAGTAGAGGTAGATGAAGTGATATGCATACCAGCAAGCAGTCCCACCAATTTCATTTGTTATCTCATCACTTTTTCTAATCACTACATCCATTTATTTTTACCACGTTTGTCACCAACTGTTTTATATTCCGAGAGGATAAAATATGCGCACTTGACTGACAGCTAAATTCATACGCAAAATCCATCGACTACACCCCCTGACGATATAGATATCACCATATTTCTATACTACTGTGACGTGTGGTTGGTTGGATGGATGCACTCATATGCGAGGTTCTACGTTGATTTTGTCAGTCAGCCAAAATAGTTGTGAAAAATTTGTTCTATTTGGCATGCTATTACTTTTAATATCGTTGAATTTATGTATCAAGTTGAAATGGGGGTAATGACTTGGCTTTCGAATATTCGGTCACAGATTCGAAACCGAATCTACCTACAAATGTTTGAGCAGCTAAATATTATTATTCATCCATACAAAATAGTTGTGGCCTACATATCATACACGGCGTAATGGTTGTTTTTTTTTAAAATTGCTAATTAGCGTTATTTTTTCATAGAATTACAAAAGTAAACTCTAATTGATGTTGTCTCATTTGCCACTGTGTTGGTGTTGCATTGGAAGTTGAAAACGTCGAATTCTGCCAACTACAACAGAAGTTCATTTAAAAAAAAATTATTGTGATGGTAACTACACAATACACTTAATAATGAGACAAATAGATTTTACATTTGTAAATGATCACTTTATTGGATGCTTCTGGTTTATCGATTGCAACAACGTGGAACCGGACAATGGTACAACTGTTTTAGCTGATGAAAATAGAATAAACGGGCACCAACAAAGATGGAACTGGGTTATTTAAACCCAAATAAGTGGAGTCGGATTTGAATCTAGGACTCATTGTTTGACCTAGCATGTTCTGAGATTGCCGTTCTTGGTCCATAAATTATAGCTCTTCGGAGGAAATACTTATTGTAATTACATACCAGTCTCTCAGCCGTCAGTTTCTGTGGATCATCAACCTCATTAAGTGACTTATCTTCAATACCTGATGATGATGCATTGATACATGGAATTCCGTTCCAACTGCCTGATATGCTTTGCTGGAACCATTTCACTTGTCTCAATTCTTATATTTGATTTTCTTATGAAATATGGCCTTAATGGTATTATTTCGAGAAGTGAATGGTTGGGACCATTTGGCATTTTATTCTATAATTGCTCTGCCTTATTTTATGACCGTTAGATGTTTATGTCCTCTCCACTTTCAGTTTTACAACTACTCGACCAGTCCAGTTTACCGAGTAATCCAAAATATATTCGAGCGCATCTATATACCTACCATTTCACTAGTTCATCTGATAGGTATGTCACTGCTTTTAATCATTAAATATCTGTATCCAGTTAATTTCAAAGTGAAATTTAAGAAAATATGAATTGTTACTGTTGTTGTACCCATGGCTTACGTGGTTCTTTTTAAAAGCTTTAGTGATAATTTTGATTTAATCTCTGTTAAGTTGAACATTTATACGTCGAATAATCACAGATAAGGTATTCTGCATCAGTTAGACGGGTGTAACAATCCCTTTTACTCACCCGTTGTTTCTCGTCTGTTGACGTTGACCTTAAATTTACTTGACGTGAGAGACAAAGTTCGTTGTATTTTGTGAAGCAGATAGGTGTTCATCTTAGTGAATATAATGGTATACGAATAAGCGAAAATTTAGTTTATCTTCTTCAGAGAGCGAATTAGTGATTCAATGGTCTACATTCTGTGGATCACTAGCTCAGTGGTTTAGGGGGATGACATTCAAACCATGAGTCATGGATTCGAACACCGCACCACCTACCTAGGCTGGCTGCATTCCTGTTACTCTGAAAGAAAATAACATACTCTCTACAGAGGGAAACTCTCTACTTCATTGCTTACTGTGATTGGTGTTCTCCAAGGAGCCGTCCTTTCCCCCTGTCTTTTCTCTTTCTGCATGACTTACCATCTTCAACTAGTATCAATTTCATCAAATATACTGATGATCTGACAGTCTCCATACCTGTCTATTTTTCAGCGAACTGTTCCCAACTGATTGATTCCCTATCTACCGTCGGACGATGGTCCTCCGTGAATCGTCTTATGCTTGACTATTTATATATGCTAGACTATGAACTTTAGTTTCGAACGTGAACATAATCTATGTAAACTGCTTGGTTCTCATGATTCTTGTTCTATTGATAGTTGTGCATTAGAGAATGTTACAAGTGTGATTTATTTCGGCGTGTGTTTTTCCTCGAACCTTTCCTTGTCCTCCCATATCTTACTAATTTCCAAGAAAATTTCCCGCCTAACTTTCTATATTAGAAAGCTGAGAGCATCTGGTATAACTAAGCCTCTCCTCCTGCGTCTTGCCTGTTCTCTCTCCTCTATTGTTCTCCTTTATTTTTTCCTGGGTTGCTGAAAAAAGAATATACTATGTTGCTTAGATTATACCTCTAAATTTTCTAGTTAAAACAGTTGTGGAAAAACATATTAACTCATGCAAACATCTGGTAGGAGTTATTTTATCCGATGACCAACATCCTCTTCACTCGAAGCTGTCTGCGTGTTGGTCATCTTGAAAGACGAGGAGCAAGTACATATTACTGTATGCACGTACTACAAAATGTAAACATTCTACAATACTGTATTTAGCTCATCTACTATGCTATCAAGAAAGCATTAGAAATGAACTAACTAATCAACTTCTGGTTTTGAAAGTAAACTAATTGATGATGAGCATGTTACGTATTATGAATCTAATTGCTAATGAGATTGTCTACCTAAATTAACTATGCATTTTCAAGAAAGTTGTAGATAGAATGAATATTCTTATATTTTTTTGTCATTTATACTTATTTTGTTTTGCTGTGTATAAATGCACACTGTCTCTGTTCGATTGATGCTATATGACATGCTGAAAATTCTGTACAGTATTCTGGAAATAGCTTTCAAAGTAAAGCCATTATTATTATTATTATTATTATTATTATTATTATTATTATTATTATCATTATTATTATTATTATTATCTTGGTAGCCAGGTAGTATCACTAGCCCTTATATAATAGGTGTGGTTCATTGCCTGTTGGACGGACGTGCAAAAGGTGGCTAAGTACATTTCGTTTTTTCGTTCGGTCTACATTCTTTCACTGCAACCACTCTATCAGGTGTGCCGATCCCGTTTCTGTTGGTTTGAATAGTTGGACTTTATTTTCAGCTTTCATAAAATCAGTTTGCTTCATGTAGTCATCAACCAGTCGTGTTAACACACGGAATTTCATTATTGTCGTTAATATTATTATTATTTATTATGGCACAAGACCGTGTATATGTGGTTATCTTCAGGGTTTTTTAAAATAAATGTTTAGCTTAGTGAAATTGTTCGTACTCTAAGTGCAATTTTACTTATTGGTGAACATAACTATGTAGATTAGTTTCTAAATGGTGCTAATCGATAGACCGTACAATTTTCGCGTACTGCATCATATTGGGTCTACGATGTCGACTTTCAGCCACTCTGATTACCACAGGGTCTTTAAAATTGTATATCATCGCCATTTTAAGTAATACCTAATCAAACAATAGCGCTTATGTTCCGCGCTGTGTCTTATAAAGAGAAGTGACTAGAAAGTTTTTGATTTTAAACATCGATTTTTGTCTAGGTCCAATTGGTAATAGCCACTTATATATTTGACAACGTGTAATAGACACAAAAGAAGCTTTGCTGGTAATCATCACCGTAATCAGAAACGCGGGTTCCATCTGGCTTTATTCTGGCCGTAACGGATTGTCTATGGTGTTTTTCTCTCTCAAGGAAACTACTGCAATACCCTTTGATCTATGGCGTTATTTACTTGGTTAATCATACCTTGTTAAGTCATATTCACCTATCGTTCGAGTTCCTCATTTCAGTGTCTTTCTTCGAGAGGTTTGTATTCAGTTTAGTAATGTCAGTAAAGAATTGATTTCAGATCGGATTTTAAACCGTCTTCTTCTAATTATCGAAGTTCATCCAACTTGTCCGGATTGTCATTTTCATCAAAGCAATAAGAAAAAGATTTGATGGATATATAAGCTGGAATTAATTTTACGGCTTCTCCTCAGCTGCAAACAGTCTAGAATAAATATAGAACTGGTATGGGAGGAAATGAAAAGCGTACTTATATGTTCGAACAAAGTAACCGTGCACATCGAGCAATATAGACACATGAGACAACATTGGTTAGAGAATGTTGACAATGCGAATAATAGTGAAAAAGTCTAATTATTTATTATAGTTACTTGGAAGAAAGATCATTGAGTTTTAACAGTAGATGTAAGCAGTGTAAGACAGATAGACAGACAAATTCAACATAGACTGTCGAACAAAAGTGCATACGTTCAAGTTGCCACACTTCACAGTAATAGTATACAAGGAACAACTGAATAGAAAAAGACGTATCAGAGTAGATAAAGTTGTGTGAGAGGATAAACAATTTAGCGATAAATGTTAGTGCAAATATTCAAACTTCAAAAGATGTCAAGGAGTGAATACATCTGCGCCATTGTCACTGATTTTCAGCCATGTCACCAAGAGTCAGCCCTCAACCACTGATTCCTATCGTCTTGGGGGCATCACCCAGGTGGTCCACATTTCCCCGCACAACCCAAACTAACAGTCACAGACTTTGTCAGCTGGTGCCACATCTTGATTTGGCCACCCTAAACGCTCTTCCAACATAATCCCGCTTCCTCTAGCATGACATATCGAGGTGGGTGGTGTATCGGTATACGCAGTACATGTCCAAGGCATCTCAGTCGACTTGCCTGTCGTGCGCAGTACCTTTCATCTAACTTCAACATTGTTCATACGGTGATACTACCAAGGGTGTGCAATGCTACGGAAATACCTGCCATCATGACCCTGTAGTCGCCTCATGTCTTCCACTTTCAATAAGCGTGTCTCACAGCCGTAGAACGAGACTGCAGTGCAGTATACTCCTCCTTTGACTGACAGTCGGATATCTCACCGACGCAGTAGTACAATAGTTAGCGTTAGAATAGGCATGTGATTATCATAATAATAAATCTGCCATGCAGAAATCAATAAGTGAGTGTTTTGTTATGCAAGACATATGGGACAGATAATGAAAACAAAAAGGGTTGAACAAGAAAACATGAAATTAGAAATGCAGTAGTTGAAACAAGCACATAGTTACCAAGGTAATGCTAAAATGGTCTTTGTTTCTTTTTGAGGCCAGCCTAAAAGCGCATGATTGCTTGCTACTGATTCTACAAAACTTACTAACATGGAAGTTCTTTTTCGATTTATTATTTTAAAGGTTGTAGGTTCATCTATTATGTCCTCTGAAATGACTAAACAGCGTGTACTTGAACTTGTAAGCGATTCCGAACAATTCAGTCAGCAGGGTCTTAGGAACATGTTCTCAGAAAAAACAAACACAGACCCATCTTTTTCTCCTTTCAGTATACTTGTTCTCGCAAGTACATGTGAATTTGTAAGTACAGTTGGAGTTAATATTGGATAAGCACTTATCCATTCTAGATATACAAACATATCACGATTATTTCCGTAACTTTCCAAAACATCTGATATGTCTTTAGGGTCTCTCTGTTATTTTGCTTTCCGTAATGGGTTTGATCATATTATTCTCATTTAAAGTTTTTTTTTCATCAAGTAATGACTTAACACGTATTTCATGGACATCTTTCTTGTTTTGTTTCTAGCAAGAACTGGTGGAGGCGTGTGTTGAAATCTGAATACTTACCCCCAGTTACACTATCTTCTCAAGTATTACGTAGTGCTGTTGAAGAAAATGGTTTGATAGGGAAACGTGTAAGTTGAGGTGTTTGAAACTGATTCTGTGTGCACTAACTTGTATTATTTGTATTACTACATCTAAAATAATTCCCGATAGCTTCAAAAAGCGTGCCTGTTTTGTATTCTGTATCACAAATCATCATTTCAGTGTCGTAGAATACTTTACCTTTACACAAAAATATGCCATTCAAGTAAATTGAATATTAGTATCAAAGTACGTCAATGCAATGAAACCCTTCTAAAAATGGCTTACTTAAATAAAGAGGCTAAAACGTTTGCAACGCAACTGTCTCCACAGACCAATGTGGAACACAGGAGAGCACCAGTTCACAGTGGTAGACAAGGTAGCCTAGTCACTCAATGAAATTGTGAATCTTGATCGAATAAAATTGTTTGGACATGTATTACGCATGTCAAACCATAAGATATCTTGGGGTGCAGCGTTAGCTGAAATAGAATTGTGTTGAAGGAAGGCTAATAGTGACTATGCTAAGACGTGACACCAGTGCATAGGATTTTGCTCTTGTTCGGATCCACATAGAGAGGTGGAGACTGTCTGTTTTAAGTCTGCGAGATTACAGGAATCTATGGTTCGAGATTTTTGTTGACACGGCAGAGAGTAAATCACATTGGCGCAGATGTATTCACTCTTCGACATTAAATATTCTCATTAACCTTTATTTTAAAATTGCTACTTCTCCAGTACACTTTTTGTCTACCTTTTCACAACCTTTTCTACTTACTTTTTCCTTGCACACTGCTGTGTAGTGTTGCGAATTGAATTGATGTACTTCTGTGTCAGTATCTAGTTTTTTTCTCTTCGTGTCTCTCCAATTACCACTCAACGTGTTCAGAAAACTATTAGCGTCTACATCTAGCAGAACTGTATCACCTCAAGCAGTCATTTGAGATCAACATATGACTTGACATCACTGCTCAATAGTCGAAGTTGCCACACCTCACATCAACACATCAAGCGAGAATATGCCAAGATAAAAGACAGAGAAGTAAAGAAGGCAATCAAAAGTGGTAGAAAGTAGCAAAGAGAGAGGAAAACGAAGCGGGGAAATTCCGAATTCTGGATTATGATCAAGATGAAGGCAATATGTAGATGCATTTTTGCCACTGACACGAAGCCATTTCATATAGTGTCCAACCTCTGGTTTCTGTTGTCACGCGGACCCCAACCGGGAAGTCTACGTTTCCCTATCCGACACAGACCAATAGTCAAATACTTCAGTGACTGGTACCATGTTTTAGTGTGACTGTTCCTAACCTTCTTCCAGCTTAAGCGTGCTTCAGCTGGCATTGTCTGACGAGGTAGATGATGACTAGGCATACGCGACACATGTCCCAGCCACCTAACCCGATAAAGATTAACAGTCTCGTCGACTGACTTCCGTCTTCTACCTAAAACCGTACATCTAAATTCTAGATTACTGACATGGCGGCACCGCGACACACGTCCTATGTTGTGAAAGCAAAGGTGATCAAATGCTTGAGACCTCAGATCCTCTACTTTTAATGGCTGTACTGTAATTCTACTGAAAGGGTCTTTTGTGACTACACCAACCCGGGTATGGCCAAACTTGGAGGGGTAGACATCTATCAGCACATGTACAACAGAATTAAATGAAAACAGAGGGAATGAACGTCTTTAACAGATAAAACTTCACTTACACAGCTCATTTAACATCTCACCATAGGCTCTAAGGCACCTACTATTGTTCAAATACGACGCCTTCAGAAAAGCGATGTACGTACCGGACTCAATGACACATTGTCATTAGACTTCTTGATCAACTGAGCCAAATCTCGCCTTCAACTCAAGAAATGTAGCTGGTGTCACGTACTTTAAAGGACTTAAAACACTAACTAATATTGTCATTTCACATATTTTTCTTTCGTATTACGCTCACGTTTTTCTTACTGAATCGACTATGCATGAAAATGTTTTCCTGATACGTAGAAAGTGATTTCGAGTTATTTATCATTCATTTTCCCAGTTAGTCCTAGTTCAGTTGAATCCATTAAAACGGTCGGAAAGCATTCCTTGCACACATTTATATGCGTAGACACTTAGTTGTATACAGTCAGATTGCTTAATGCAATCGGAAGTAAAGTTGTATGAAATAGCTCATTAAACAAATGCTAGTTGATTGCTCTGTTGCATACATTTAATGGTTACTCAATCTTTTCATTTGTATTGTTTTCCTATTCTTTTTTCCATGTGTTATCAGCGTCCTCGTCCGTATGATCCAACTGTTCTTTCACAGTTCCTAACACATCTACGACAAATTATTGGACAACCGCGCGATTTGTCTCCACTAGTTATGGTATGTTTAGTGCTAGTGATAACTAAGTATGCATTTGAACGAGCCGGTCAGTCGGTTAGATCAACCTATAACAACAGGGCATGATTTCTCTGTTGAACAAACTATTCGAATTGATGTTATGATAAATAATGTAATGTTAAACGGTATTGTTTGTTTGATGAAGAATTATTTTTTAGTTCTTTTTACATGTACGTTCATTCATTCCTCTTCTTCCCATAGTATTTGCTTCTCATATTCCATTTTTATCTGTAGTTTTCGTTTCAGTCGGTTTTTTTGTCTTCAAAGTTCACCTTGAACTCTGTCATACATTCTCCTTGAAGGAAAGCTGTTACTTGAACATATAATCATTGTTGTTTTTAATGAATGAGGTTATCATGTCTTCATCTCATTTAATGTGTTGTAACTTCTACTACTACTTACATATTTATATATGCATCCATGTAGCTGTGACTTACAAGTATGCTTATTGCCTTCAGTTGCCTTGTTGTTTTCCTTCGTCTCATCTTGTTATTCGTTCTGGACGTTTTTCCACCACACGTCCATCGTTTCACGATAAATTGAACTGAATTGTAGATTCCATGTAAACGTCATCTGTGGTAGACTGCAATTAGTCAACATTCGATGTAAAAGTATACCAATATTTTTGAAAAGTATACTGATCATCTGCCGGACATTAACCAGTGTTACTATCTAGTCGTTCGTGCTGATCCGAATCTGTTGATCGGGTGTATAGTCTGGCTATTCTGCTGAGTAAGTGACATGACGGTGACGTGTACCGTGCAACCACATTTAACGACTGTGTTTTTCTTTGTTTGGGTTGTACACATAGCACTTCTTGTTTGAATAAAAGTTTATTCCCACTCGAAAATTGCACCTCAAATCCACAGATCACTTTGCTCAAAAATGGTCCAACTGGAACGTCGTGTCCTATCCCCTAATTTGAGCATCAATTTATTCTCGTACTGCTATTCTGTGATATTCACAGTCTGCGGAAATAAGTCTTACTGATTTTTAAATCTTCAGTGTAGTTGTTACTTTTATGTCTTAGTAGAATCACGCTACAGTTTGCATTTGCTGGTTTGTGTCGTTAACATATATCTATATCGAAAGTTTATTGGCATAGTACGTAGAAATAAACATTAAAAACTGGTACAGGCACCTTAATCGTGCACTATTTTGAAACTCAATAGGGTAAATAATGAGATTCCAATTATGAATTATTCATAGCACTTGTTTTTGGGGGTCTTCGCTATTTTACTGGACAAAACATAAGTCTTGAAAATGTAATGTGTCTACGGCGCACGGTGTTGAAGGATGTGAAGTGTAAACACTGATCACTATTGTAAAACTTCATCTGATTGTACGTCAAGCCAAGTTAGCTAATTTCTCGTTAGTAAAACTAGGAGAAACTAACAAGGCGACGATGTCACCAGCGTTAATAGAAATATGAAACAAGAGAACTAGTCGTGGAGTAAGATTTCCAAGACCTAGCTGATGCAGCAGCGTGTCTTCTTAATTACTCAGATCCTTTCTCAGCCTATCACAAAACGTTTTCAACCGCTGTTTTGTGAAATCCGACCCAGGAAATTTATATGGCTATGGCGTAATTTCAGCAGTCTTCCACATGCTCAGATTTATTTAGTGGTTCGGAATCTCGAATCAACTTTACCTTATCCGCCTTCCGGTTTTAATTTTTGCTGTCAGCAAACTACACACATTAATCGATGATTTCAACCTATTATCTAAAGACGAACACTTTTTTGGAGTTAAGGTTGCCTTACGATTTGCAACAGGTGCTAAACATTGTTTAAAGGTTTTCCGTTAGTATTTACATGTCATTGGTAAATCAGTTCACTTGAGTTGCATTTCTCACTAGATTGTTATTTGATTTTAACGCTTTACGAATTTAAAACGAGGAATCGTTTAATCCTGTTTTTACCGCGAAAGTACAAATTAATGGATATCAAATGGCCTTCTTTTGTACTATTGCTATCTTGAAACCTTTTCTATACTGAACATGATTCGGCCTATAAAAGAAACAATTTTTTCAGCCTTCATGAGTTGTAGAATAACTTAGATTGCTCAGTAGCATAAAATTCTTGGTTAGAAGACACAGAACTGACCGAACAAACTAGTGTTCATTGCGCTAAGTCATCTTTTCAGAACAGTAATCCCACAAATTGTTCATGATAACCGTTTTCACAGTTTTTGACCAACTATAAATCATCTAACCCACAACTGAATAGCAGATTAATTGAGCTAGTTATGTGACCACAAATTGTAACGACGAAGTGCTATCGAGTATTCCTAAGGATATTTGGCGACCTTTATCAAACCTCAGTTTTCATTCATGTACACTCACACATGAGTTGCTATAGAAAAATAAAGCTCATGTATATCTAATCATCAAAAGACAATTCAGCGACGAGAATTTTATTTTTGGCGAATCATTTTCAAAAGTTGTACATTCGTATTTATAGCTAATGGGTCAATGAAAGGTCATCAAAAATTGTCGATAAAGTCATAAGGTACTTATAACCAGGTCAACAAAAGGTTACCGCCTTGGGCCACCTCCACGTGTGTTTACAAGTTAACTTGGTTATTTGGTTATTATTCTCCGAACAGCATCCTTTATGGCAGTCTAAAAAGAGTGCGAAGCGATTGACAGCTTGATTCTTGAGTATCTGGTTTTTTCGCTCCATCAGAATCTTCCTTCACAGTCACTGATGAAGTAATATGAAGCATTTTGATAGGGGTGTGGATTCGCCAACTGAATACAGCAGAAGTCTTGCTAGTCCATCATTTTAAGCCTGATGTTTGCATTCAGTCTGTAATTTTACCTTCGTCATAATCTCTCTCATGACGTTTTATCTATTTGCCATTTTTAAGGTAGTGTTCATCACGGACTGGCACCAGTTAGAGAACTGTTGAAAACCTGGGAACACTGAAAAGCTGCTTCATCTCAGCATAGGACTCTTCAACAGTACGCACACACGACCTCGTCAGGGATCGGGCCCAGGACCGTTAGATTTCATGGTGAACACTTTAACCATTTAGCCATCGGGTTGAAGTTCCAATGATCCATGGTTTCCTACTTCCATCAATTCGCAAAATAGCGCGACCGTCCACCAGGAAGCAGCAGCTGTCCACTACTCTCAGGTTTTTAATTTCTCTCCAACTGATGTCAGTTTGTGATAAATACAATCTTAAAATCTCCGTAAACCCCGAAATATATTTACTATTTATCAATTTATTTTATTGCTATGAATAACTTTTTGATAACTTTGTATTGACCTTATAGTCGTAATCACATTATGACTTAATTGACAGTTTTTAATGACCCGCTGGCTACTGATGGACATATATTTTATTGTAATTATAAATACGAATAAATGTACAGCTTTTGAAAATGATACTTCGGAATGAGAACTTTTGTCACTGACTGACTGACAAAATCAACACAGAACCTCTCACATAAGCGCATCGCTTCTAGTTGCCACACTTCATAACAGAATACAATGAACAGGCAGATAGAAAAGAACAGATATCAAAGTGGATAAATTTGTGTGAGAGAATAAACAGTCTGAAGATAAAGGTTAGTGCAAATATTCAAGCTTTAGAAGACGGCAAGGAGTGAATACATCTGCACCATTGTGACTGATTTCAAGCCATGTCATCAAGAGTCAGTACTCAACCGTTGATTCTTATCGTCTCGGGCACCCCAGCCAGATAGTCTACATCTTCCTACAGGGCTCGGAACAACAATCAGAGACTTCATAGGATGTTGCCATGCCTTGATTTGGCCACCCTGAATTTTAATCCAACTCCCTCTAGCATTGTATGTTGAGACACATGGTGGCTTAGTGTGTGCAGTATATGTCCAAGCCATTTCAGTGAATGAAGGTTCACAGCCTCACCAATGGATTTGCCTACCTTGCCTAGTATTCTTCGCTTGACCTCAACATTGTTCACACTGATTCTATTAAAGGCTTGTAATGCTACGAATTCATCTGTCGTAACTATAACAGCACAGATAGACAGTCTGATATCTCTCCAATTGGTGCTACAGTTGGCAAATGCCAAACGGACCTTCTGTATTCGAGCTAAGATCTTATCAGTCATCAGGCTGTTCGAGGTGACGCAACTCCTCAAATAAGTGAGGTGGTGGACACATCTCATCACTACTCCTTACCATCAGACTGGGAGTGGTTGCAGACAAGTTCTGGAGCATCATCTCACACTTTACAGGTGCCGGCGAAACCCATGTCAAAATTGCTGATTTCTGCTGAAGACGTGCAGAAGACCCTGCATTTCGTCAGCGTCTTCACCTAGTAGGACAATATGATCTGCATATTTCAGGTCAACCAGATGACCTCGAGGAGTAGACCAATCACTGTGAAGTCAGATGTTCCTAAGATTGTGTCCATTAGTACGTCTATGACGAAGTTATATAGGAACGGTTACAGTGGACATCCCTGACGGATGCCACTAGTTGTCAGCAACTTTAAATTACTTCTCTTTATAAGCCTTTACACAACTGCATGAGTTCGAGTAGAGAGCTTTGCTAAGCATTATATACTTTCTCGGTACCCCCTTCACATTTAGTAATTGCCGCAATACCTCACCGTCAAAGAGCCGAATGCGGGTTTCAGGTCAGAAAATATGGCAAGTGTTGGCCACTGGCTGGCAGGTATGCCTGTGTTGCGGAACCTAGCAGATCCGGTCGAAGTACTGTCACTCAGGTCTGGAGGCTGCCTGGTTTTCTCGAGTTTGTCGTTCCCGAGCTCCATTTAGGTGTCGGATAACTATGAACCCTAGGATCTTGGTTGGACACAGTGTCAGTCAAACTAATCCCCTACGGTTGTCACAAGAAGACTTCTCTCCCTTCTTATAGACTGGGATGATAAGGGAAGTACAACAGTCTGACGGCATTATTTCTGATTCGCATACACTTCCAAGTACCTCCGTCAGTTTAAGCAACAATTTCCTACCTCCATGCTTGAAAACAGGTATCAAGCTGTCGGGTTCTGCTGCTTTACATCGTTCCAGGTTCTATACAGCTTTCTCAACTTCAAGAAGGATTAGAGAACCAACATCTGCATACCATTTAGGTTCAGGCAGAATGTTGGGGGACTAAAGTGTTTCTAAGGGTCAGTTGAACTGTGCTTCAGAGTGTCCTGCCCAACGTTCTAGCCGCCCATCCTGAGAGGTTATCAGTGTGTCGTCCTTTTCGTTGTTGGTTTCACTAGCCATCGTTTTTTTAACCTGATATTTTTAATAAGCCTGAATAATTGCCGGGCTTTAACCAACACTGATGCTTTCTCCTTCGCCAGCTACCACTTCTTGTGCTCATTGCGAAGACTCTCGGTCAACTTACGTTTGAGTTGCTTTCGCTCTTCATCTTGTTAAGAGCCAGCTGGAATCGGTGTTCTCACATTAATTGGTTGGGATGACGTCACAGAAGTCCAGTGACGTTTGCTAACCTTTGTGTGTTGAATATCAGTTGTCTTTACGGTTGTTTCTACAACACACTTAATATCACACGAGGTTTTCTCAGGGTAAGGATTGCTGTCATGTTAGATAAGTGGTTAGCTATCTCTTTCCTTAATGTGTTCTCATCTTCCAATTCAGCGTTCCCTGCGACCAGTAAGGCGCAGACGTACGTGAGACTGTACTAACGCGTGATCGGTGTCGAAACAAGTACTCCAGAAGTAGCGGCAACCCACTACCAACCCTTTTGAATAGCGATGAAATATATGTGTCCATGGTTTGTTTGAGACCATTTGGGGACATCACATGCGAAACCGTCGAGTAGAACCCCAATGGCGATGAACCAACCAAGAACCCATCGTCCAACAAATATGCAGAAGAGTAAGAAAGTGGAGTTGGATTGGGAATACACTGAGAAGACCATTTGCGGACACCACACACCAAGCCAGGGCATCAAGTGGAACCCAAAGGGGTAACGACGAGTTGGGCGTCCGAAGGTGACATGGAGGTGATCTTGTGAGGAAGAAATGAAAGCTTCTGAGCAGTCGTGGAGCCAGGTTGAAAAGGCTGCAGAGAAGAGAGTGAAATGGCGACGTGCTACTGGAGCCCTAGGAACTCAAGGAACAAATAATAATAATAAGATAGTTTGTTTGAAGTAGGCGGACACCATGTGAGACAGTGAATCTCCTTATACCTAAAGTTAGTGTTGGTCAGCAACAAACTATTGTGGGAGCGAAATTGCAACAGGTGATCACCGTTGTCGGTTTGTT